GGATTCGGGCCTCCTCCCCCCTCGCCGCCCAGGCCCGTTGCGCGGTGCCGCGTCTCCGAGTGACGCGCGGGGTAATGACCGTAGCGGCTCTGGTCTCGCCGTTCGGAGGGAGGGAGGCCTTAGGGGCCTGGGGAAGGGAAGGTTGTGTTCTCTCCGGGCTGTGGCCCTTGGCGCTGCGTTAAAATGGCTACTCGGCGGTGGCTGCCTGCTGGAGAATGAGGTTGCTGCTCGGTGGAGGCTCTCTGTGCTCACGGGAGGTGCCTCGAAGAGACTCTCTTTGAGCTTTAGCCTAATGGGCTTTAAGGAGAAAAAGAAGTGAGGATCTGCAAGAAATTGGGGGAACACTCCAGAAAACCTCATGGCACTTGCGGGTGTAACACTTTTCCTTCCTTTTTGAGGAAACAGAGCAAAATTACCATTCGGTGTGACTGACAGTGTTTTTTTAGGAGACCATGCTTCACGTGGTGCTACCAGCGGCCTGTATGAACCCTCGGAAACTAATTTCAGATAAGCTGTGCACTTGTCTGTTTGCAGCTTGCTGATGTATTGGGAATCGTGACTAAAAGATTTTATCTGAGTGAAGAATATGTTGAGGATTGGTTTATTTTGTTGCTTTGCAGAAGTATGAGACCTCTTTTGAATTTGTATTTCTAAAGATTAAAATGAAACATATGTTAGTGCTTACTATGCAGTCAACAGCACTGTATTAGTGCAAACTGGAAGATATTTCTTTTTTCTAAAAAAAAATCAAAATTAACACTTAAAGAATATGTGACTAAGGCTCTCTGGTAATGTAAAACTCATGCAGGGAGTTAAAGCAGCTTGGACATTCAGCATCAGCGTTACAAATGCTGTAGCCAAAAAGCAGTTCAAAACTGATGCGGAATTGATCAGTGTGCCTGGGAACTTGAGTTTTAAAGAACAAAAGCCTTTGCAAAAAGGGTCCTCAGACTTCCAAAAGGGTATTTAACATCTCCATTTGATGAGTATAAATGATTTTTTTAAAATGTGGACTTATTTACTGATCATAGATTATTCTGTTTTTCTTCTTGTGCACTGCATAGTCCAATTAAAGCGAAAGAGCCTGAGAAGGAGGGATGTCACTGCAGGTGGAGGTTTCTTTTCCTGTTGCTTTTCTTAGTGGACCTCAAAAAGGGAGTTCTTTTCTCTCTCCATGTCAATACACTTTGTGTGTATGTGTAAGAGTTGATGTAGGCCCCAGAGCCAGTCACATCTTTCTTTTCTCTTGTGAGAGAGTAGCCTGGGAAGCTTGTGCAGGTGAGAGTGCATGTGAAGGCACTGAAGGAAGAGCAAGTCATGGCTGACGGGCCTGCATCTTTCTGGGGGTGGAAAGGCTAAGCTGTGATAACTGTCTCTCCCAAGAAGCACTTTCTGGTTTGAGTCTTGTGAAATGAGGGCCTGCTTAGCTGAGAGAACAATAACATAGTGTTCCATGGGTGTTGTAGTCAGGGAGGAAGGCAGTTTCTTAATGTGGCCTGTCTTGTTTCAGTGTTCTCAAAAGCAGATACTGCTTTGTTTCTAGATGTCCTAGTTGAGACTAGAAGCAGTTGATAGAAGAGCTCCGAGCATGGTTCCACATTCAGTAACATGCATTTCGTGATCAGTCCGTTGCCTTGGAGTCTGTTTGCTTTTTATGGTGGTCTTCTTGAGAACTTTAGTGATTTGAGTCTGGAAGGACTGCAGGTAGGTTGAATCTCACAGCAAGTGTCCTCAGTAGCAGCTGTTTTTGAAAGCAGCTGAGTGCTTGCTTCTATACTTCAGTGTAGGCTTAGTGAGCCTTGAAAGCAACTTAATTTGAAATAACTTTCTTCAGTCTTGTTTTTATTTACTATGAAGGTTTTGTATCTTCCTTTTCTACTTGCAGATACATCAGAGGAACCATTCAAATCTGTCTGCTTTAGCATAGCCATTAAATCCTTTGCAGGAATTAACTGCAGTGACTGGAAATTTGACATTTTTACCTAATAATTTGGGTGCCTGTGGAAGAAAAGAAACATCAATTTGTTGAGCTTACCCCACTTGGTTGTCGTCTTCCATGTCTCCATATCGTACCAGGTTTTCAAATGTTTCTTGTGTGTAGACATGGGTTTCCACTTAGTTTTTCTGATGTGTGTAACATGGTGGGACAGGTAGAGTGCTCTACATTGACATGACCCTTGTAGCTTGTCTTGCCTGTCATCTAGGTTCCTGCAACTTTTCATTTGGTAACGGCTGTGCTATAGTGGTTTTGAGTTTACCATGTCAATCTTATCAGTGTCACTGTGATACTCTTTTAATGTTAGACCGGGAAATGCAATGTTTCAGTTTCCAAACCATCCTGTCTGTAAGGGCAGCACTGCTGAGAACTGCCACAGAGATCGTGAATTGTTTTTTGCTAGTAAATGCCCCTAGTAGTGATTCCTGACCTGGTCTTAACTGTCTTCCTTACATAACCAGGAAAACTTTCCTCAGGCTCTGTAGTTTCAGGTACCATATGCTTCAAAGAGCTGTGCTAAGGACAATTAAATATTTTAAATGAGTTTTTTGCTGTTGTGTTTAAAGGCTTGACCATGCCTTCTTGCCTTTCAGTGCTCTTGAGTCTGGACTTGCAGTTCACTTGGATAAATCTCAATTTAACTTAATGATGAGTTGTTTATTACCCACATTAGAGAAAATCTTTGGGCTTCTGATTCAGAATTTGGCCAGTTCCTCACTGATGTCTGTGAACAGGCCAAGGCATGATGGTTGTTAGTTTCTGATCGATCTATCTCATGAGTCTTGGTCGTCAAACCCTTGAGCCTCAGAGTCTGCAAAGACTAGCTCATCCTTGATTCACTGTTCAGTACCTGGATAGAGAATTTAGTCTGTCTGAAATACTTCAGCTAGCATCTGGCATAAGAAGAGCATATGGTTAACTCTGAATATTGAACAGGATGTTTAGATTTCTCTTCAAATGTTTGCTACTTAGCACTTTTAAATATGTCTGCTGCCTTACAGTCTTTGCCTCAGCTAAGAAAAGTCTGAGCTATGTGGGGGGCGGGGGGGGGAAAAAAACCTTTGATCCACTTGCTGTTGGTTGGAATTACTGATACTGATTTTTTTTTTTCATTTTAGACAATTCTCTGTCTTTTTATATCACGCATGAGTAAAGTGAAAGGATGATGAATGCATCTTCCTTTTGATCAAGGAAATGATATCAACAGTGAAGCAGGGCATAATTCTAATAAAAGACATTCTGAATTTAGAAAGTCTTCCTTCAGATTTTGAGAATTGCTAGCTATAGATATTCAATCTTAATGTTTGTTTTTTTTCCAGGTGCGGGTTGTTCTCAAGTATCGCCACTGTGATGGGAACCTCTGCATCAAAGTAACAGATGATGTAGCTGTAAGTAAGGAACATGTTCTCAGTGTTCTGTGTACCTTTTAAGGACTTGCATTTTGCTGTCAGTCACCTTGCAAGATCTCATCTGTCGTCTGGAGAGTGCCTGACAGTTTTTAGAAAACTTACTGTGCTCAGCCTTCCTTACTTGTTATGTCTGTGCCTGATGTTGACCTACTGTTCAACTCTTAATTGTCCAAGAAACGTTTTTGCTTTTTTAATGGTTTTAAGTCTCAACAGAGTTATTACAGAGCAAATGAACTGTTGTTGATAACCATGATTTTACTGCTATTTGGGGAGATGAAGGGAAATATTAAAAAAGGCTAGGAGTAAATTTGCAAGGTTCCATGCTTAGTAACTACACAGCAAGGAATACTCTGCTGAGTAGGTGGGGAGGGAAGACTGTGTGTAGTTAAAAAGGATTTTAATATAGCGATTCCAGCAAATCCTGTAGCATAATGCAACATTTTTCTCTATTCCTGCAATACCCTTCCTAATGATTTAATTGAACTGTGCAGTCTGTGCAGAACTGTGCTGGTAAAAACTCCTGTAGTGATATTGAGGCTTGCATGAGTGTGGTCCTCTTGCATTTGTTCAAAGTAGTGATGACTTTCTGACATAGCTTAAGCTCTTTGCTTGTGGTTGTGAGGCAGTATGGCTCATAATCAGTGATATCAGTGTGTTGCAACTCAATTGCAACGCACAGTTGCATTTCAGAGAGCTCATAAGGATTTTAGTGTCAGTTACACATTCATTAAAACTTGTGGGGTATGCACCCGAAGTGGAGTTTTACAGTGTTAGAGTAACTGTACAAGGAGGTGGAGCAGCTGCTTTTAGTGATTGCTGGTAATTTTCCACAGTCCAGAATAAGCAGCAGCAGTCTATGCTACTCTAATCTTCACAAATTGGAAAATTAAACTTCTTTTCTAGAAAAGTAGTCTGGCACTTATATCCCAAATACATGGGGAGACATGCAAAACTCCAGTAATGGTATTTCCTCACAAGATAATAGGCCTTAGAGGGGGTGAGAGGCCAAATGTGAGCACTGATAATAGGAAGAGGCAAAGGGAAGGTTGAGTGAGATGGATTCATGAACTTAGACTTTTCAGTTGCATGCCTTCTTTACTTCCACTTTTTACACAGATTTATAAGGAAAAAATGGGAGGATGGAGAGGAGAAAAGGGTTTCCTTACAACTAATTCTGTAGAACTAATAGAGCTGAAGGGAAAAACTGAACTATTCTGCTTATTGCCTCTGAATTCAACCTGGAATTTAGCTGTTAACAGCATTGGAGAATGGAGTGTTCTGGTTTTGTTCATTGTTGAAACAACCTGGACACTGTATACATCCTTTGCATTTATTGGCTTGTCGTGTGGAGAAATCCCTTTTAATCTTAATCACGTGTCATCTTCTGTGTTAAAGATTGTTTTGGAAGTTGACTTTGCTTAGGAGAGGGAAATTTGCTTCAGTGGAAAACACTAAATGTATTTTGTCATCAGTATTAGTACACATGCTTCACTGCTTCCAAAATGGAAGGCAAGATATTTGAGAGAAACATAAAGGTTAATGCAGATCTACATCAGTTTAAACACAAACAAGCAAAAACCCAAAACATTGTTTGGGCAATAGTTACAACATTGAGTATAGAATTGTATTGGCCTCATGATAACAGCACACTACAGATGGAAGTATGAGGACTTGTTTTTTGGTGCCAAATACTAATTTGTTGTAACTATAAACAACATAAGAATAGTTCAAGTGCAATCTAATATTTAGTAACTTTCTCTTACAGTGTTTGCTGTATAGAACAGACCAGGCTCAAGATGTAAAGAAGATCGAGAAATTCCACAGTCAGCTAATGCGACTCATGGTGGCTAAGGAATCCCGCAGTGCTGCCATGGAAACAGACTGAATTGCTGAAAATAAAATGAGTGCTCCGGTCATATTTCACTGGAAGAAAATATCACTTGGATTTGAGCAAATACTGGTTCAAGACATGCTTTTACATACCCAAGTGGACTGATGAAAAGCCCGAAGCTTTTTTCCCCCAGACTCCACTTTTGAAAACTAGGAAAATAAATGCTTTCAATTGAAAGCTTATATTTATTTTTGGAAATTGAACGAGAAACTATTCTTACACATTAAATATGCTAAGAAGACATGTAAATCTTTCCTAGTCTACAGTGCTTTATTCTTTAATTGATAGGTAGCAAGCATATTTCTTAAAGTTATGATACGGTTTCATATAGATTACATTGTGTTCATATCTTATGCTGGTGTGTTCTCACAGTGAGAAGGTCTGTTAACCTGACTAATACTGTAGCATGATGACTGGATCTGTTAAATGATATACAGAAATGATATATGTCAGTGGGTTTTAGAACAGCAGATGTTTTCTGGACTAAAATGTTAAAATTGCCAATATATATTAGTACTGTCACTAACGAGATTTTAGCTTTTAATATTGGTCTTGATCATAAGCTGTGCAACATGATCATGATGCAGTCTGTAGAACTTTATATTGACCAAATAATTAAAGTTCTGTACCTGAAACAGTAAGTAAAGCCTTACTCGAGTAGTGCTAGATATCCTATGGGAAGCTGTCTTTTCTGCTTAATGAAGTTTTTTTTTTTTTTTTTTTTTAATTATGAGTGGCTTTTTTCTAGTAGTGAACTATTTTATATGAGCAGTAGGGACCTTTTCCACCCTAGCCTCAGGCAGAGCTGAAGTATATCAGCAAGGCAAATTCTAGAAGCTGTCACCTATTATGTTAATGGAAAAAGACAACCAAATGCTATCCAGACTCTCCATGTCTGTAGCTTGCTGACTGTGTTTTTAAATATTGTGTGACAGCTGGATGACAGCCAGCTAAATGAATGAATGAAAACCAGCTTAATAAATACTTAAATACCACTGTCGAAAATAGACTTATGCTCATGTGGCTTAGTTTTTGTTTCTTGTCATTATCTCTGGTGGGGTGACAGCAGCTTTAATTGTCTTCTGCAAAAGCTTTTTGCTTGAAAAGCCAGTACAGAAATTGATACTTGCTTTGACTAGATCTTGCAAACCTAAAAAACAGACGGGTTTTATGTGCAAGCATGCTGTTGGTATAAGAAACCTTTTTCTGGAGTAGTATCTTGACTTAAACCAAACCATGAAAATGAAGGGAGAGCTATATGAAAACTTGTCTGTACTGGCATTTAAATATAACAGAACAATCTACTTAAATAGCCACTTGCTCTCACTTATGCAAAAGTAATTGGTCTACTCGGAAGCAGTGGAATTCCCACATTTGCCAAGGACTAGAAACAAAGTCTGGACTTGAACATTGCCTTAAGTTGCCCTTTCAGGTGAACATATAATGTTGCTTGTTGTTGGAAAATACTCCAGTGCTACGTTGTCACTAGTTACTTGGTTTGTAGTCCGCAAGAGTGAGTGATGGACACCTCCTTCTACTGATGTTTTTTTTTTAATACGAATAACTGAAATCCACCAAGAATGTTAAATTTTGTTCATAGTTAATCTTTATTAAGATACCATGATGCAGATGCCTTTGATGCTTTGAAATGCTGTGTTAATATTTGTAATGTACCATGTTAACTATTTAAACAACTCTTATCTAAAGCATTATTCTACAGCAAATGATTTTTACACAGAAATCATACGTGGGTTGCACAACCTGTGCTAATACATAGAGATTTAATCTGTTGGGTTAGCAGGCATAAAGGCACAGAAAGATGTAACTGGTCATGCAGGGAAGAATGAAAATAGAGCGAGAACTGGGCCTGGTGCACCAAGGAGCCAAAAGACCTGAGCTAGGTACACAAGCTGTTTTAGAGCAATAGCTGTCAGGGCAAGGGTGGCTTGCCAAGGAGGTGGCTTTCTAGTTTTCTACTTCAGAAACTATTCCTGTAAAACTGTTAGGAAATATTAATGCTAGTTTCTGGGAAGTATGATCTCCCCATGCTTCCAGAAGAATGAGGGTGATACTGTGCAGGTGTAAGGTACAAGAATATTGATAATATTGATAACTTAAAAGCTTTGAGTTCTTGTAAACCAGAAGACAGAAGTTCCTTGACTCTGTTGTGGAGTCTTCAGCCCCTTTGATACATAAGGGCAGGGGGGTGGAGAGGGGAGAATGGGAGCAGAAAAAAAAAAAAACTTAACTGCTATAAATTTAAGGCTCTGCTTTTTCTAGTATATGCCTCTGCTGGTTCTTGTTTCCTAACAAACTGCTAGGCAATGATTTGCTCCTTTGTCCTGCCAGCTACCTGAAGCTTTCCGTGAGTACACGAAGGAAAACTGGGTTAACTGGCCACTGCCCCTGCCAAAGGGGTGTCTGCCTGCAGCAGGTACCTGCCCCTGACCACTGAATCTCAGAGCAATCTGGGGCAGTTAGAGGCTGCAAATGGGCACCTCAGGAGTACATAGGCAACTTGTGGGGCCTATAGACAGGTAACTGTCTTTGCAGGAGAAATAGGAACAAGATAAAATACGTATTTTCCCTTGCTATCACTTACTTTGTTGCTACAGGTTAATTAACATCTGAAATAATTAGTTCTGTGGGGTTAGTTTAACAAAGAAGGCAAGTCTTGTCACTGCAGGAAGGATGTGGATTAGTTTATCTCTAGAATTAATTCTTCCCACTCCTGCTGTTCTCGCTTCCTGGATTTCTGAGCATTTTGATTCCACTTATTCCTTTGTGCACAGCTCTTCAGCAGATGGTGTCTGATTTCTTCTGTGAAACTGTGCTTTTGTTTTCAGAATTCTAAACCTACACTCATGTATGTGTAGTTGATTCCATAGCCCTGTTCTGGTTTTCAGGAGAGCCTTAAGCAGTACAATACATACTGCAGTGCAATATGCACATATTCAATGTTTTGCTGTAAAAAAGGTGAAGGAACCCTGGTTTCTTCCAGGCACAGTGAATAGCATGTAAGCACTTACTGCCCTAAGTTGATGTTAAACCTTTAAGTTGTGCAGAAAGTGCTAGTGCCCTTGCTGTAGGCAGAGCAAAACCTCTCGCTTCATTTGGTTTAAGGCTGGAGCACGCTGCTGTCCTCAGTGCACTTGTGCTGCTTTCACTCCATCCAGCTACTGCTTTAGGAGCAGATAAACTTACAGCACAGGAATGATACCATAACCACCTTTTAAATAAAGTTTGAGGTCTACAGATGAGAAAATGTATTGAAAGCAGGTGACATTTGATTTTTAATTACTTGCCTGTTTCTCATACGGAGACCAGCTTCTGAACAAGCCAATCTCCTTCAAGAGTCTGTTGGTGTTAGTGTGTGACTTCAGGGTGCGAGTGCTTAGCTGACACCATTCAATATTACCCTTTTGTATGATGCTCTGGGCTGAGATAATTTTAAACCCAGTTGGCTGAAGCAAAGCTGTCTTGGCCAAACACAAGAAGGAGTCGTACTCTGCAGGTGCCCAAAGAATGGTGTCTGTTAACCTTCTTTTAAGAAAGTAGCCTGTAAAAATGACAGTTACAAGTTTTGCTTAAACTCAGAGCGATTTGTCTTTCAAGATATGAGGGTGTCTGTTTTTAAAAACAGTGCCTCTTTGAAGGAGTGTGCTGCACAGCTTGGATTAACCCAGCTTGTTTATTTGTAGCTATTTTTATCTCTTGAAAGGGTCTTGAATGTTCAAGAAGTAGTATTTAAACCTGAGTAAGAGCTGAATTGTCTCTGTTGCTGCAGACATTGTAAAAATATGCCTTTCATCTCTTGCTATTTTTTCAGTAAGCCTACCAACTTCCAGAGAAACCTCTGCTTTTATGCCAGAAGGTCTTTCCTGAAGGTCCTTTGAGGAATTGCTCTGGAGGCAAATGTGGGCTTGTTGGTCCCTGCAGCTGTTGTTCTGCCGAGGAGAATGATGGCATCGTGTTTTAGAAGGTGTAAATCTAATGTGTGGGGGAACACAGCCAACACAAACGTGGCTGCCGTGGGAGCGTGGAGTTAGTCATTGCAGGCCAATACAGGCCCTGCTGAGCAAACGATCCCTAGTTTCTAGTGCAGCTACCGGCTGTTTCCACTTTGCTGGGACAGAGTTAGCTGCAGGTGTCTGTTCTTGCAGGGGAACTCAGTTACTTTCAGTCATCCACAAAGCATCTTAAGCCACTAGTACCATCTCAGAGATTTCTTTCTTAAAAATGTGCCATCTTCTAGCACAAACCAGTTTGCTCAACTCCTTCGTAGCTGCCATGAAAACAGCTCCTAGGAGCTGGAAATCTTGGTGTTATAAAACTATGACTGAAGTGTTCCTTTCAAACCTGTAACATTGCTATTTCTGAAATAACATTTTCTATTTATGTCAAGATCAACTTTGAGGATATTTTGTTTTTTCTTTCTCGCAAATTTAGATGTTATGCTCGTATTCCTCTGTTGCCTTTTTTGTGCTGATTCCTTTTCATTTTGCTACGATATAGACCATCAATCATACTGTGGGATCTGGGGGTGGGTGGTTTTTCATTATTTTGTTTGAATTTGTGTTTGCATGTTGGGTCCATTTTTTTGTTCTGTCCTCTGAAAGTAGTGTTTGTTCACCAAAGGACCCTCCTGCAGAGCGATGCCTGTGCTGAAAGCACCATCTCCCCAGGTCCAGGCACACGTGTGCAGTGAGAGCTCACGGTCTGATTCCTCGGAGGGGGGTAAGTTTTGTCGAAACCTCCTGAATAGCTTTTATTAGCCAGTACTGAGCAAATGAGAACTTGCTGTTCAGCTGGCTTCTCTAGCCCATTTATACAGCTCATACAGCTTCTTCATGCTCACTGCTGCCTCCCTCTTTGCTAATAAGTCCAGCAGCAGTTGTACAGCAGCTTCTCGCTCCATTTTGTACGTACACCGGGGTCTCTGCTTCTAGCCCTTCCCTGACGACGTCTTTCCGTCACGGGCCCCAGCTTCTTGCCCCCCAACGCCGTCTTCTCCGTGTGCGCAATCACGGCCGGCTTAACCGCTCCCGTCCCCCTCTTGGTAAATAAAGTTTGAGGTCTACAGATGAGAAAATGTATTGAAAGCAGGTGACATTTGATTTTTAATTACTTGCCTGTTTCTCATACGGAGACCAGCTTCTGAACAAGCCAATCTCCTTCAAGAGTCTGTTGGTGTTAGTGTGTGACTTCAGGGTGCGAGTGCTTAGCTGACACCATTCAATATTACCCTTTTGTATGATGCTCTGGGCTG